TCCTGTAGACATGGTGGTTTTGATCAGATATGGATCGTACCTTTTCTTTGCTAGCATCCCCTCTGATAGCAGTGGATTCTTTCCTTTGTAGTGGGTCAAAACCAGCTAGGCACAAGACTGGGAGTTTCAACTGGTAGTGAATACATTTGAGAGCTCAGTATGACAGATTAATATAAGAATTTACATTTGTATGTCTATTTCTGCTCTCTGGCAGGTGACTTACAGTGTTGTGTACCAGGAATGTCAGCATATACTGTAAGAACTGCTCCTGTCCACCCCCATTCTTGGGGAAGTTTAATTATGCTTTCTAACCTGAAGTCTAGGGAATATATCCTTTAAGGCCAGTTTGGGAAGCCCCTTTTCTTCAGTGAACTGAGATTTTTAAAATGGAAGGTATGGTGGAATCAGTCTGTTTTCACACTACTTTGAGGTCTCATCTTTGGCTCTATGCCTGTATTTGTGTCCATCCAACTGGAAGACATCACTTGGTTTTACAGTCAAAGCAGCAATCTAGAAATGAAAGCCTTATATCCTAGCAGTTAGTATGATGGCCATTTCTCCACACTTCCCTCCCAAATCAAATAAACATGGTTTTGCAGAAAGCAGACTTGAGTCTTGCACAGCAACTTTGTTTTCTAGAGCATCTGCCTACTTAAAGGCAGACATCTGATTGCAGACAGCTCTTGAAGGCAGCAGCTGAAGCTAGCTAATTGCAGAGCAGAGATGAGAAACAGATAACTAGAGTAACTAACAAGCTGAACAGCAGCTGTAGTGGATCCTCCAGTGCTGAGGTTTCTAAATGTAAAGCAGATTATCTTTCTTGGGGAACTGCAGCAGTGCCACTTTAAGTCTTTGAGAGGTTCCTGTAATACTATAGCTTGTAGTATGTGATCCTCCTGACTGGCCACACACAACAGGTATTTTTAGTCTTTGATTATTAAAGTCTTGTGCACACTAGACTAACAAGAACTGTCTCTAATCATAGGTGGTATCTTCCTCCTGTATATTGTATGCTCAGCTTTAAAGTAAGCATGGTTCTGACTTGCACTGAGAAACCTCCTGCAGAAATTCTGCAAAACTGATGCTTCTTCTTAAGGCACAATAAACCAATAAAAGAAAACTGTCCTAGCGTAACAAATCTTGTTCTTCAAATCTGAGGCACAGTCTGCAGATCCCACTAGCTCAGTGCATGAAATTTTGGGCTCAAGAATAACACCAGGCTTCTGTTGCTAATTGTAGCAGGTCATGCAGCTGCTCTGGCCATCTTGAAGAGACTGGAGGAAATATACTGCACAGAGGGGCTGAAGCAAGTGCATCCCCCTAAAGATTTAATGGTAGTTTGATATATCACTTTGTAAGTAAATCCCTGAAGAGCAACAAACCAATTGCCCTGTTAAAAGCCTTGTATTATAAAACAGAATGAGTGAGAGAACTGTACCTGCAGAGGTTAATCTTCAGCACAGGAATTTAAATGAACTAATTAAAATCAACTTACAAATTAGCTCATCAAAATGCAACACTGCAGATCCAGAAGTTGGTTGATCTGGCATGCCACTTCTATGAATAAGTGACTTAAGAAACAGAGAACAAATTGATAGTATTAAAACTCCCTTTTCCGTCCCAGTCCCAGAAACCCTCATCTGTAACTCCCTCTTTCTTGAACTCTGTACCAACAGCACTTTCTGTTTAGTGACTTAAGCTTGTTCAATCCCATGCTGCAAGTGCTGTGTAGTAGCACTAACCTCTCGTAATGAAACGTGTGTTTGTGCACACTTGAGCCCTCCCACATGCAGAGGAACTCTGTAATTGAGGCCCTGGCACCAGGGGTCACAGCAACCATCATTTTCACTTATTACCTTGATAATGAGACTCTACCAGCTGCTGGCTGTAGGGGGCTTTCTTTCCTAGTGGTTAAATTCTAAATAATTACACTGCACTACTACTGCTATTAAAGTAATGGTGTTGTTCAGGGGGAGGAGGGAAAAAAGACTCAAACGAGTTCTGATACAATTATATAAACCCATTCAGAATGCCTTTTATATAAACCCATTCAGAATGCCTTTTATATAAACTACAGATGCCAGTGATTAAAACTGGTCTTAATTTTACAGCTTTTCAGTTGGTTCTTACTTATCTCAGAGGCACATAATAGGCAATATAGAAAATAAAAATATACAGATTTTACATTCTAGCTATATATTCTGCAGTAATGTATAAGTGTGTGTACATATATACAGACAGAAACTCCAAGTGCAAAACCAGTCAATTGGCCTCACTAAATCCCCCATCCACATCAAAAAAATGTGTAGAAAACTTAACTGAAAAATTCTTAAAACTACTTTTCAGCATTCCAAAATCATAAGAAATTACTCAGTGTTGCATGAAAGGTTTTAAGAACCAGACGCCTACAGAGGGCACCATTTGAAATACTGTTCTGCATTTACAGTCTTTAAAAGGGACAGTGACTGGCTGGAGAGTATGTTGGCATGGGCATTACCTGGAGCACTTGCCCAGCCTTTTTTTAGATCCTGTGGGGATTTTTGAGATGGCTTGTCTGTCCATCTGGGCTTGTTTCCACCTAAAAAGCACGGTGCTGACTCACTCACAGAGCCAGCTCCTCAGGTAGGTCCAGGTGTCTGACTCTGCTGCTCACTAAAACTGTCTGGGAAAGGGTAGGTGGGGGTGAAAGTCATGTAAACAAAGCAGAGGTGCAAACCTTACTTCTGCTGGGCAGAAAGGTGAGTCTTTAACCTTGCAGCAACTCGCAATAAAACCACACCTTTCCCCTTGAGGACAAAGCCTGCAAGCTTCTGTAATGTTCTTTCCCTGCCTCCTAATCTTGCCTGACCTAAAGATATGAAAAGTAGCTTAGGTGGGAAAAAAAAAGAGGCATTGGAATGCACTATTATGACCAGAAAATGTGTGAACACCATGGTGCTTTTATGTTGAGTTTGTTTGATGATGAAATGGCAAGACTGAAAGACAAGCTTGCTGAATCCAGTTTTCACTCAAGGATGAGTTAAAGTGGAGTGGGTGGAATGATACTCAGGTGAAACTGTCTCAAATCCATGTGGAAACTTAACCCATCTTTCAAACACAAATAAACAGTGCCAGGTAATCAATCTGCTTGGGGATTGATTTGATCAGGTGCCAGTCTGGGCTAGGCTGTGGAGGTGGATGGGGAGACCTGAATAACTGCAGCTTTCTGAAGGGGACAGTGGGAAAGAATGGTACCTTCCTCATGTTGCCTAAATAAATACAAAAAATCAGCTGATTATGAAATCTGGGCATTTCCCTTATGCCGATTTGTTTCTATTCCCAGAAAAGATTTGCTGTTTGGAGACTTTACTGTAAGCCTTAGGCAAGAACTGAAATCCCTCAGTATCCTCATTGGCATGGTGAGTAATACTTGGAGAATACTGCTCACTGTAGTTATTTGAGCTCAACAGGGAACTCTTAAGATCCTCTGTCTGTGTAGAAATCATCCAAGTTACAGAAGCAATGTTGGCTTGTAGAAGGGCTTATGTGCCCTGAAGTTGATCATTCCCCTTTCTGCCATTTACATTAATTGCACTCCTAACAAGTACTGGTCCCACAGACCATACCTCATTTGATGCTGACAGCTGTTGTTTTTCAAAGCAACACTGAACACTGGAGTGGTGTCTTTTACTTAACTGTAGGAAAAGGAGGCTATTCTGGCCATGTCCTTGTCTCTGACCTTACTGAGGTAGTTGCGTCATCCCCATTGGTTGCTTTCAAATGAGCTTTTGTGGATGGCTGTCCATTCTCTGTTTGGCAATTTGGATGTCCAAAACCTGAAGAATTATTCTGATAAAGAGCAAGAGCTTGATGGGATAGAAAGTGACAGGTAAAAAATGAAATTAGGACAGAATTCTTCCTTGTGCTGTACCTTGTCCGAAGTGGGTGTGAAGAACATTTGCTACCTGCTTTGTGACCTAGCAAGTTACTTTTTAAGGTGCAAGGCAACAGCTGTGCTCAAAATGCACAATTTCTGTAATTTCACAAGACTCACTTGCAAGACTATTTGAAGATCTTATCATTGCTAGTGAAAGCAATGGGTTTAGAGCTGCTGTTTTGTGTGTGTAAATGGGCATGTTCAGGTGACAGTGACTTCTAAAAGCTTCATCCTATGATTTGATGTAAGAGCAGCTGGAAGGCCTTGGTTTTCTCTGTATAATTTTGTGAAGCAGCAGGTCTTACCATTAATTATCTTCACTCTGTTTCCATCAAATGCTGCTTGAAGTTTTAGCTTAGTAAAGCAGAACACATGGCAGCAGCAGTTTTCATCTCAGAGCCACCACTGCAGACCAGAGGAGTGATGTTAGGGCCATCCCTGTCTTCAAATGCAAAAAATGCTTTATTTCTGGAGCCTATAAATGTGCACCAGGCACAGCTTACAGGACCAGAAGTGCTGTCTGTATTTAAGAGAACAGGGATGCTTGGACTTGCTGTCAGGTTTGGACACTCTTAGTAAAATCTGCAGATGCTACATAACATGAATATTGCTATTCTTACTTAGCCACAGAATTCGTTGAGGAGTCCAAAACCAGAGACAATTAATCTTTCTAAACCTCACTGCCTTGACTGATCCAGACACTCAAGAGGCAGGGTATCGTTGCTGCCAAAAAACCCAGAAAATCTGTGCTACTTCATATTAAAACAAAAACAAAGACCATTGAAATTTATGAGAAAATTAGGGAAGCAACTGAGAAGTACTGGTCCAGGGAGCTGTCAGCCAGCACCTCAAGTGACTGATCTGACTGACAGAGTTCATCAGTTTCCCATGTGTATTAGTGCTGCTAGCTCCTTTTTCATGGTCATTTTTAAGGCAATAATTGTTCTAGCAAATCAGGAATATAATTTAACTACTACTGTCTAAGCTAGTTTCACGGTCATCCATTTTCTGAAGTCACCACATTTTATTATGTACCCACAATACAATTATACCAAACCACACAGGTATTTAAGAAATACAAACACCTTTATAGAAATGTTGATAGTGCTTTGAAATCCTCTGCCACAGCCAGGGCTCTGTTAGACATTGCTGGAGGTTTCCCCACTTGAATATTCCCCTGTTGCGCTGGGCAGAACAAACTTCACGTATCTCCCCTTCTCCCAGCCCCTCCTGATCCGCAGAAGTCTTTGCTGGATGCAGGGAAAACTGAAGATGACTTTTGCTAGGATCACAGTACATGGGACGAGCAGCGTGAGGGTGTAGGTTGGAGGCAGGTAGAATTTGTACTGGTTCTCATCGAAGGCCCTCGACCATCCGTAGGTGAGCGTGTGCAGGGTGCTGATTACCAAGGCAATAAATCCAAGGGTCGACTAAAAGGAAAAGGAAAACAAGCCTGTTAGCAGAGGACCTTGTGCCAGACTGTTGTCCTGTATTTTTTACACTACTTTGTAAGTGTATATAGCAGAGAGAAAGCAGTGAGTGTTCCTGCCATGCTCGGACAGACCCAAACACGACGGGAAGCCTGTCCTGGGTTGTGTGCCAGGCTGCGTTCTTCTTCAATCAGAGGTTAAGTGTGATAACAGGAACTCAGTAGGAGCTTCCCAGAAGATGCTGCCAACTGGGCTAAGAGGTGGGCTCCTGCCTCCACGTGAAGCAGCAGCCCCAGGCTCCTGCTGAGCCCGTAGCCACGGGCAGCTCACAAATGCCCCTCCCGAGCCGCGGCTGCCCCTCCTGGCAAGAGGCTGCCGACCAGCACGGTGAGGCATGGGCATGGTGGCTCCAGACCAGCAGCTGGCACAGGCAGAAGGCAGTCAAGCTGCAGCTTCACACACAGCAGAGAAACCTTTGCAGTCATCTACCAGAAAATTAGTGTGGAGACAGAAACGCTCGGCTGGAGATGAAAGGCAGCCCCAAAGGGTTTCCTTCTGTGTCCTGGAGGTGTGTGTTGGTTTGTGAGCCAGACCATCAGGCTGTATGATGGACTAGGTCCTTGAAACGGGGAGTCAAGAGCCCTTTATCTGCTCAGGGAGGCAGCAAGGACCCCAGCACCTGTTCTGCAGAGAAGAACTTCCCCTATTTTCAGCTCAGGTCATGGCCCCCGAGTACCCACAGAGCCAACATTTTGCCTGAGTATTTCCAGCTCCCTCAAGAGGGGCTTTAAACTGTGGTCCCCTCACGGGTGGTTTTGAGCACCAAAGGTGCTTGCTCCCAGAGGCATCTCAAGTACAGGCCTTTGCTGCTGTATTTTCCAAGAAAAACATGGGGGTAGCAGATTGCTCTGCTGCCCTACTTCGAATGCATGGTCTCAGCCTGCAATAATAACCACATTTCTGGATGCCTCAACAGGGAAAATTTTGCTGCTGATGTCCCTGGCTTGGAGAAGTGTTCTGGTTTGAGCCAGGATAGAACCAATTTTCTTCTCAGTAATTTTACTTTTCAGTTACAAGTCAAAATATCTGGCTTGGTGCAGCTAGTCAGAGATTAGCAAGAACCATAGTCTTTATGAAGGTATGTCCAGGACAGAGGATACAGTAGAGGAATAAGGGCCAGGGCAAGATGGGAGGAAGGACTTACCATTTTCTCTTGAAAAAATAATCTTAGCTGTAAAACTAGGCAATTCAAAGAATCCCATCCTATTTTTGATTGCTGGGGATTTATTTAAAAACAGAGACAACTTTTTAAAATGTCCATGTTGTTACCAGTGAATTAGACTGACTCTAACCTTCAGAGCTAAACATGGATTCTATGTAGGCAGCTGAGAGGACTGGGCAGGAGAGGGAAGCATAATATCAGATCTAGAGAGATCTGCCACAGTGGGACTCAACCCATAGCTCATCCAGTGTTTATTGACACTGAGCTTCCCTCCAACAGGCAAAAAAAAATAATCTCTGGGTGGAAAAAGGTGGGAAATACCTGGAGAACACTCATCTGGCAACACAGGGGTGTAAAGGGGACGGAGTGAAATTCAAGGGCAGCCAGATGATTTCTGCCCTGAACAGAGGGTGCTTTTGGAGTCAGCCCAAGCAGGGCTCTGTGTGGCAGAAATGTAGGGGCTGGAGTTAATCTGCTTGTTCCTCTACGGTTTCTCTTTCAACCACTGCTGGTAATGGGGGAAAGTAGGAGTGGAAATGAGCAGGACAAAAGGTGACTAACCATCATAGGCACCCAGGGACCCACCTTTGTGTGCAGATGGCAGGGCACATGAAACAAAAAAGCTAATTGGCACAAAGCGTGTGGATAAGCTGCTGGTGGCTGGAAACGCCTGGCAGCTCCTCAGGCCGCTGCAAAGGGCTGATCCATTGGTAACACTAAGGAGAGGCAGGGGGGGCCCGAGGGGAGGGGGTTCCAGTGCTGGTGCTGGCTGAAGGACCTGCCAGCCGGGTACAGGTTGGTCACCGAGTGCATGAAAACAAAAGTTTTGCTGATCAGAGCTCAGCTCAGTGCATACAGCTCACTATATACTCAGTACAGCACAATGGGAGCCTGCTGAGCACCCCAGGGGGGCTGGTCTGCCAACATGCTTAGCCCTGATATCACACTGAGTTTTGAAGCTCTGCTGTCATTTATCTTCTCAATGCAGTTGTTGGCTATGAAACTTTTTTTGTTGTGTTTTTTTTTGATTGAAGCAGTGGCAGGGGTTTCTTTTGCACTGTCACAGCATGAGGACCCCATGTAAAGTATTAAAGTCCTCTGAAAGATGGCTCTATGAAGAGCCTCATGCAGGCTTTACACAGATTTTCTTGCTATATTAGCTCTTATACCTCCCCAATCTCCTTGGTGTCTGTGAAGCTCCCTGTAATGCATCAGCAAAGGTGATTCAGTCGCATGTGGCTCATTTAGAAATGTCTGTGCAGCGTCCAAAGCAAACAGCCCCTTCCTGACCCAAATATGTTTCTCACTCCTGCTGCAGTCAGTCCCATGAAGTCATTAGCTCCGTGGAAGCAGCTCTGGCTCACACTCTGTCGACAGGAGGGTTAGAAAAGGTCTGATGACAGATTCTTTACATTGTTTGATACATGAGCTAAGAAAGAAACCAGGTCAATTCAACCTTCAAATTCCAGGAGGGACTTCTCAGGGTTGGAAGGTAAAGGCAATCATACACATTTTTACTTTTCAGCCTATTAGAGTTGATTTGTAAATCATTGGGGAACATTAAAAATGTCTCTGATAAGTTGAATTACATATGAATCATTCTTGTTATCCAGTGCCTAGAGCCTGTACATTTTTTGTTAATCAAAACTGGACATAAGGGGAACAGTGTGTTCAAGTTATATTTATAGTTCTGGACATAAGGGGAACAGTGTGTTCAAGTTAACCATATTTAATTGAAATATGTGTATGTGCAGGAATCACTATAAAAAATTAACTGTATTTTCTTTGTTTTCTAAAACCTTTGCAACAATCCAAAGGGGATTTTCATCCCATCAGGCAACAGATGTGTATTTTAAGAGCCTGGCAGTATCCCATGACACTAATACAAATGCACACACCACTGCTGGAAAATGTCAGGCTTGGGAAGCTCTGGCTAAGTAGGGCACTGAAGTGGCTCCTGAACTTGTAACAAGCCCCAGCCCTCTCTCAAATGTGGCTTTTGGTACAGCATCTCTCAAACACAACAGTCAGTTCAACTGAGATGGCAAGGAATGCTGGCATTTTCTGGGAGACACCTGGCTGGGGCGGCTGCACTCTGCGTGTTCCTTCTTTCACTCTTCCCAAGCATGGAAAGCCAGGATGCCTCCGCTGGGCTGTAAAAGGGTCAAGTGTGAGACACCCCAAATATTTGAGAAAGCAGCCTCGTGCTTCACCCCTTTTAATTTACATTGTGCTGCTGTGCATTGATTCAGGAGGGATCACACTCCAATCACATTAACCTCTGCAGACAGGGAGCTGGAGCTCTGTCTGCTCTTAATTCCCTCAAGAAAGGCGTCACCAACTTACTGAAGAGTCAATCAGTGAAGAGTCCTCATTAAAAAACAACAACAAACAAACAGAAACTAACATGCCAAGAGATCTGTCACCTGCTCTTTTTACATGATATTTCCACAGCAGAGCACAATACCAGCCATGCCTCTCAGGCATGTGATCAGCTGGAGCTTGTGTCGCTCCGTCATGCTTTATCCCATGTGGACAGAAATAGGCATATCTTTCCATGAATTTAGCCAGCCAGTTCCCACGTGAGGCAGCCAAGAGCTATTTTGGAGCTAAGCATCATGTATCTGTCTGGTTCCAGCGCTGACATACCCTTAGGAAGATGCAGGAAGGGGTCCCAAAGGGCAGATGTGACAGTCGTGTTCCCCACGCTGGTAGGAGGTGGCGGCACTACCTGCCGTGACAACGTATATATTACGTGACACAACACCAGCACCCTCCAGGAGAGCTGCCAGGCTGCCTGGGGCACCAAAGGGAAAGCAGGGGGTTTCAAAGCCTCCTTTCAGGCTGCAAGGAGATACTTTCCTTCAGTTGGGATTCCTGGTATGAGATGCCTAAGTCAGGATTGATTTATCCCATGTCCCAGCGGCTGCAGCCCTCCCCTGAGACATGGAGGCAAGAATTAATATGCTCCTGTTGTCCAATCTGAAAGAGGTTTTAAGCCAGGTCTCCTTTCTCCCTGAGGGATGATCTCTTGGGGTCAAGCTCTCCTGGTGAGGCTCTTCTACTCAGTGTAAATCATTATTCAATAGCCCACAGCAAGAGGAAAAAAGACAAACTGACTTGCTCATTTGGTGATCGGGGCACTTGTGGGGGAAGAAGGCTTCAAACTCCTGCTCTAATGAATATTGAATTATTTATATGCCACTGAAGAGCTTCAACAGGAGAGGCTGGATGATAGATATTCACCTCTACATCCCTGCACCCTGCCCTCCCCTTTTGAAGGTTAGGTGTGCACTGCTGTGATGCACAGGGAGGCTGGGCAGGGCAGATGCAGGGGGATGGGGTCCCATGGGGGTCACTGCAGCAGGACTCAAAGCTGGGTGCAGGCTAAGCAGTAGTGATGTAGGAGACACAAGTAACAAGGGATTTTAGAGCTATGGGATATGACAGTGACATGGTGAGTGGAATGTGACCTCAAGATAAGCTCCAATGTGCACAGAATACTTGAAGGATGGTTCCCTGGTATCCCTGTTAGTTAGGTCTGACTCCAAGCACATCCCTGAGAATGCTGCAGCCCCCGAGTCTGGTGTTTGTGAATGTCCCACATGGTGGACCCAGGTCACTAAGGGAATTTGGCCCTTAGGAGCTGGGACATCACTGTTAAGTGGAAAGAAGGCTGCTAAAACTCTGAATTACTTTGGAGGAAGAAAAATTACATTCCTAATGCACCTTTTAGAATCAGACATGGACTTCTCATTGAAATCATACCCACTTATTTGTGCTTCTTGGGCTGGGGCATTTTTACAGACCAGTCTAAGCCTTTTTGAACCTGTCTATTCAATATCCGGGTGCACGCAAGCTCTGCCAAACCTGACCTTCCCCTGCACTGTCCTCCCACGTGCTTTCCTTTTCAGAAGCTCCCTCTCCCTAGAACGAAAGGGCAGGTCTGTGCTCTGCAGCCAGATGTCTCTATGGCAGGTCACCTGCCTGCCCTCCACAGCCTGATGCAAATTCACTGCAGCAGCTCTGACACATTGTGCATTGTGTAAACTACCCACAGCAGCTCTGACATGTTGTGCATGACTGACACATGACTGGCTCCAAGGGGGATCCTGCCCATGGAAGCAAACAACCCTGCCCTCTCAAAATGACCCCAAGGCTTTCTGCCTTTCTACCTTGTGTGACTTCAGGAGGTTTTTAGCTGTGAATGGCCACAATGCTCCCCAGTACTGAGTAAGGGGGGAAAGGACTCTGCAGGGAGATGTCACACAGAGAAAGCCCAGGCTGGTTTTTCTTCTCAGGATCTCTAACTAGTGCTGCTAAATGCTGGGTGAGAAAGAAACTTCAGCCAAGACATTAAAAACTCCTTCCTGCAAAGCCTGCTGCTCATCACCATGTGGATGCCCACGACACATTAAATTTTCCCTTCCTCTCAAGATGGCAGCAGCTCTGCAGAGGGGGTGAGCCCTGGTGAGAGCAGCCCCAGCAGGACACACTGTGTCCCACTGCCAGGCCATCGCTGCTCAGTGTCACCTCCTGGGCAGGGGGTCCACTGCCCCGGGGTGCTCGGGGAGCTGTGGAGGGGCAGGATTTGGCCCTGACACCAGTGCACAGCTTTCAGTGGCTGTGTTGGAGCAGGGACGTGCTGGGATGGCAGGTCAACCTCTGCCCTCCATGTTCTGCGTGAGGGCCTGACTTGGACGGCAAAGTCACCCTCTGGCATCAGCAAATGTCAACGTTACCTGAATGCAACTGAATTCCCTCCAGTTGAGAGAGTTTGCGATGGATGGAAGTGAAGTGATGGCAAGTAACGACAGCAAGCCCAGGGCAATGATTCCAACAGAGATATATATCTCCATCCTCCAGACTTCCTCCTCTACCCAGACACTCTTCTTCTCCACAGCCTGGCACGACAACGAAGGTTTGTTAAAATGGGGAGCTTAGGAATAGAGGAACTGAATTTTATCTGCATTCATGTTGATTTTGGAAGCAGGTTTCCTGGATGAACACTGGGTCCCATTCATACCTCCAGTGCTATTTCCCCCTGCATTTTGGGAGGTGTGAAAATGTTCTTTTATCCCGCTGCTGTTTGGCCAAGCTAGACCAGATCTGAAGCCTGCTGGGAAGAACTGCTGAATGCTCTCAGCTCCCACAGCCTGTAACCACAGCAGCAGGCCCCAAAGTTGCATTTGGAAAGATAATTAGAATGAGAAGTCAATTTAAAGCCATGAAAACAAATACAGATGCTTGAATATGCAGTAGTCTCCTAATAACCTTCATTTTAAGTGCATTTATGAGGAAAATTGTTCATGCTAATGGAAGGGAAGATGGGTTTTATGCTGCATGGCAACAAAGAGCATTTAGAGCTGTCCTCTTTAGCCCAGTAAATGGGTTTAATTTACTAAACAAAGATGTTGCTGGAAAACAGGAGGTAGAGGGGAAATGAACACAGGATACTTGCCCGAGATTAATGTGTGACTGTGGCAATGAAGAAGGGCCTGCTCAAGGCTGAAGCTGGGAGGCTGGGGATGTTGTGTGATGGATGCTTTGGACAGGCACTGCTCCCAAAAGCAGCCATCCTGCTCCCCACTTCTCCCACAGCCCCCTCCCTCCTCTCTGTTGGGATGAGAATTTGGAAACATTTGGGAAATGTCCCAGAACATAAAGCAGACTGGTGAGGGGGAAATCCCTCGATCAGGTTCCCCGCTCAGCTGCATGAAGCTCTGTGCCATCTCAGGAGCAGTGGAAAGCCAGGGGCAGAGAAAGGGCAGCATCACATTTGCCCATGGCATTGCTGAGTTAATGAGCTGCTGGATTGCCTGAAGGTAGCAATCTCATACTGGATAAACACTGACAAGGATCTCAGTAAGGCAATAAAGTCCTTTTCCATTTCCCCATTCTCTTAGACTATGACCAGTTCTTCACCATCGTTTTGTTACACTCCTGGAGGCACACTGTGATGAGGACACACCTCCTACAAAACAAATCCCCTGGGTTATGACTCGGCCAGTCCAGCAGGTACTTACTGTGAACACCAGTGCGAGCAAATGGGGATATCCCAAAATCTAGAGAGAAAAGTTGAGGGCAACTCTGCTCCATTTACCACTGGATTTCTCCCCTCCTAGCATTTTTCCTACCTCTGCCCTAGTCTTAGACTCGCCCAGATGCTGAGTAAAGCTGGTTTCAAAGGCTTATCTGTGCTTCTGGGGATCGATGGCATGGGGAAGTTTGATCCTAGCCCCGGCTGCAAATGGACAGGCAACAAACACCCTGCTGAGGTGGCTGGTCCTCACTGTGGATGGGTGCCTGGCACGTGATGTGTGGTTGCCTTGCAGAAGAGCTGCTCACACAGGTCACAGCTGACTCCCACCGTCCCATGCGTGCTTTGGAAAGCGGATGCAAAAGCCAAGACATTAAGCTCACTACCCACCACCTGGGTGTGTGTGGAAGATGACTAGGGGTGCTGCTGCCCTGAGGAGTACCCGGGTTACCTGCTTGGCCGCCATCTCGATCAGCTGGTAGCGGTGGGAGCGGCGCATGGGCAGGCACAGGCTGTACACGGCGTGCAGGGCTGCGCAGAAGAAGCTGAGGAGGCCGATCTGCTTGCGGTGCTGGAGCCACTGGTCCAGCCAGTCTGGAAAGCGCCTGTATTTGGTGCCATAGTAGAGCTGTGAGCAGGCTGCCAGCACCCCCGGCAGGTAGACCAGAGACAGCATGACGTAGGACACGCAAGGCAGCGTTGTGTTGACCACCTCGATGGGGATCTTGTACAGCTTGTTCTTCTGCTCCCTGATGTAAGGGTGGATGACCTGCCGGATCAGGTTGTAAGTGAAGAAGCAAAGAAAAAGCCCCAAAGCCAAAAAGATGGGGATTTTCCAGGCTGGCAAGAGGCGCAGGGGAATGTTCTCGATCTCACAGGCTGACGACATGCAGCCCATGTCCACAGGGGTGAATCCCATGACCTGAGCAATTTCTGCTACAACGCGCTTGGCTTCTTGATTATTTGAGCAAATCAGAACCTGCAACAAACAAAAGATACACACAAGGCTAAGAGAGATCAGGCTGCTGGGAAGGAGTGTGCCAGGAGGGATGCTGTGCTGCAGGAGCCTACGTTATTCCAGAGCACTATGCTTCCTGGCAGGCTCTCTTGACAGGAATTTACCATGGCTGCCAAAGACCTCTCTCCTGGGCAGGTTTCCTTTCATGTGTGCACCACCAGTTTGCTTTACTGGCTGTGTTTAGATAAACAGACAACTAAATAATACTTTTCTCTTAGGCAGAGGCTCCAAAGACTACAAAGCATGAAGTAAGCAAGAGTACTTCATTTGTGAGCAAAGAAAGGTGGAAGCGCTGGGGTGCTACCAGCACTTGGACCCTTCTCCTGGAGCTTAAGGCCATCTGCTGTTGGTGCCAGACCTCAGCTGCTGAAACAGTTGGGATTTGGCCCTTGTCAGAAGAAAACGATACCTGCTTATTTCCATCCCTGGCACCTGACTGCAGCGTCCACGCAGAAACCACGTTGAACCCCTTGACCACGGTGCAGGCTGGGAACAGAGAGGCCAAGTACTCGGCGTTGGACTCTTTGCGGTGGTTGATCTCGGTGTTGTTACTCACGTCCACCAGGATCTTGCCGGCCAGCGCGTCAGCCAGGTCGCAGAGGGTGGAGTAATGTTCCCTGAAAACTGCCACGAAAATGACATCCGTCTTCCTCACTGCCTCAGCCTGGAAGGTGACTTCTGCTGCGGGAGGGAAGAGGCCGGCCTTGCGCTGGGGGTTGCGGCTGCCCACCACCACCTTGAAGCCGGAGCAGAGCAGGCGGATGGCCAGCGACCGCGCAAAGTCCCCGCTCCCCAGCACCCCGATGGTGCGGCCCCCCGCCGGCCCCGCGCCGGGGTCACCCTCCGTCTTCTGCTGGCCCAGGAGGGGCTTGGCCATGTCTCCTCCGGACATCCTGGCAGGAAAACAACAAGGGGAAAGGCAAGTTCATTGCGTGGCTCTCGCTGAGACCCAGACCACGTTCGCGGTGGGGAAAAATGCCACTTGAACAGAGGTGGAGGTGGTTTTGGTCTCAGTAGCCCAGGACCCATCTGCCCAAGTGTGCAGTAATGTACAAGCACCATTGAAGGGGGACAAAACACCGTGCTGGGTTGGAAGGCAGAAGGCTTTAGGAAGGCTTCCCAGGTTTGTGTGATCCAACACCTTCTGGCTGCACTCATCCACCCTTTGCTGGTCTTCATGCAGGCATCTCACACTGCAAAGCCAGGTGAATGCTAACAACAACCAGGACCAGCAACTCTCAGACCCCATGGAGCTACCACACATCTTCTGAGAAGCCCAGGGCCAGGGGTCCATGGGGATCCCTGAGCACACATTTGGGAAACCGAGTGGATGTTTCCAGTTTGCAAGAGCAGAATCAAGGCACAGAGTTTCAGCAGAAATCGAAGTGTCCTAAAAGTGGTAAAAAAGAGAGATGCAGCCTTTGCCTGTTCCAATACTCAGTGCAGCAAGAGCTGTTTGCTTCAGCTCTTCAATGAATAATGAGAACTTACCTGTGACATTTAAAAATACATTAAAACATGATGGGATTTGCTCATGAAAGATCTTGAAAAGCTTTGCAAACATTAATGAATTTTGCCCTGTAACACTCTGGTCTCTGTAACAGATTAGATAGAGGCCATGGAGAGGTTTCAAGCAGATCAATAAATTCACTGGCAGCACATCAGCTGGCCCAGGAACTCAGATGAAATTCAGGCCGGGAAGTGCTGGGCTGCTCATGGGCTGAGCCACCAGTGGCTCAGATCTGCCTCCTGGCTTCAGTGGCAAATTTGCCCTTAAGGAACTTGCCATTCTTTAACGCCAGATTTTTAAAGGGCTCAGAAGGTGGCTCAGGAAACATACACACCAGGACATCTGGCTTTTGCATTGGGCACAGTGACAGAGATGATAATAAAGACCAGAATTAACAAAATCATGATATACAGGGAACTTGGTTTGGCAGAGTAGAATCATAGAATCATAAAATCATTAAGGTTGGAAGGGACCTTAAAGATCATCAAGTTCCAACTCCCCTGCCATGAGCAGGGAATCCCTAGATCAGGTTGCACAAAACCTCATCCGACCCGGCCTTAAAAACCTCCAGGGATGGGGCATCAACAACCTCCCTGGGCAGCCCATTCTGGTTTCTCACCAACCTCACAGTGAAGAATTTCTTCCTAATATCTAACCTAAATCTCCCCTCTCTCAGTTAAAAACCATTAGCTCTTGTCCTATCACTGTCTTCTCTGATGAAGAGCCCCTCCCCAGCTTTCCTGTAGCCCCTTCAGGTACTGGAAGGTTCTATAAGGTCTCCCCGGAGCCTTCTCTAGGCTGAGCAGCCCCAACTCCCTCAGCCTGTCTTCATAGCAGAGGTGCTCCAGCCCTTTGATCAGCTTGGAGGCCCTTCTTTGGACCCTCTCCAACAGGTCTATATCTTTATTTTGCTGAGGGCACCAGAACTGTACACAGCACTCCAGGTGGACAGTATTCCAGGAGTAGAATCTTGCCTTATAGCTAGTCAAGCTCTTTCAAAGTAAAGGTGACCACTCTGGTGGGGTGACCTGGTCCTTAGCCCAGGTTGTGTTTTTCATAGGCTTTTGGAAATATCCTTAAGCCAAGGCTTTCTTGGCCTCTTTTTATCAGACACTTTATCAAAAGCTCACTGCTTTACTTTTTAGAAACCGTCTTGCTCCGGCTAAATTTATTTGTGGTCAGGACTGTTTGTTCTAGGGCCAACACTATTGTTCAGCCTCATGAGCTTTCTTTCCTACACTTCCCCCCACCTCTTTTCCACCACCTGTATGCACAAAATGTTATCTAGAAATAGAGAGAGGCATCTCTGGCTCTCAGCCAAGGGGAGAGAAATCAACATTCAGGGTGACAAAGCAGTTGTTTTTATAATAATAGTTATAATTTTATAATCCATCTAAAACAGCTCAAAAGCTTTCTCCATGCTCCCACTGGGATGGGAATTCTTCTGCAAGCAAATATTCTTGTAATGTGTTTTCTCTGTCCTGTAATTGCCACTGGACATGTAGAGAGATATTAGCAATGTTTGCAGATAAACAGCTTTGCTGTCTCCAGTTATTTTGATTCAAAAGGATGACAGGATGAAATAGCCTTTGAAGTCAGCAGGATAGTTCAAAAGAAGCCTCACTGTGTTTTCTGTGGATTTAGGTGTGATTATTTCAGTCATGCTCTGTCAGGGGGTCAGAGCAGGACCCATCCCTGCTGCACAGCCCGTGGTGGGATGGCACCTTGGTCCCCACTGCCAATACTGCCATGCACTGAAAATCCCCCAAGGGAGGAGGAGAAAATCCCTTTTTTATTGTAAACATATTTTGGTGAGACAAACACTGTGGTCTGCCCAACAGATGCCTGGAAACAGTGTCTGATTAGGCAACAGGTTTTTTTCACTTCTCTATCTCTATGGAGCACACAGACCCCTCACTGCTACCACTGCCCCAACTTAGCATGTTCATGCTGCTTTCTCTGCACCTCTGAACAATGTGTTACCTGCTTAAAAGTCTCCCTCCCAAAGCTAATTCTTCATGGCAAGGTCAACCCATGCAAAGTCACTGCAAAGTGCCATGGCTGGGGTGCTGTGGTGTCACCTGGAGGCAGTGGAGGTCAAGAGTGATTACCACAGTGTTTGGACACATCTTGAGGATGTTGCAGCCTTAGATAAACCTCATTTATTGATCTTCCTTATCAAGGGAACTCTTCTCCTGCTGACCTGTGGCATTTGCAATTCAAGGAGATTGGTTTCTTACCAAGGAAGCTACAAGATGATTTAAAGCACAGCCCAGTGAGAGTAAACTAGCTTCAATCCTAACCAGGAAGCAATTCCCTAATTAAAATATCTAACACAATGTAAAGCTGCCCTTCAGCTAGACCATTAATGACACTCTTATACCACTGCGTGGGGATGAAATGTCCAGCTCTAGCACGGTTGTCCCTGCATGCAGTTCACCACTGCATGGCAATTACTGCTGTTATTTGCAGGACAAAGGCAGTGATGGGCAAGGAGCAAGGTGGGGAGCTCTGCCCTGCCAAGCACCCTACCAAAACTGGCCAGAAGGGCACTCCTGCCCCAAAGAATGGGAACAGACAGACAAAAGCTGGGTGAAACCAAGCAGTCAAAATCTCTGTTGCCCAGGCAGAGGGAGGGGCTCTCACAGAGGCAAAACATGGATCATTCAATGTATTTTGCACCTGAGTCTTGGCAAGAGGCTGTTAGCTTAGGCTCAGTGCCAAGCAAACAAGGTTTTTCTGCCTCTCTGCCCTTGCTGAGCAGCCTTGCTCCCATTTTGCAGCAGGACAGCTGTTCTGGTGGGGGCCAGGCTGCAGGAGCCCACTCAGGTGTCTCTGGGCTGACAGCAGAATCAATCTGCCAAGCAGATCATCCCCCACTGCTAACAGGGGGTCAGCTCAGTCGTTATCCTCTTCTGACAGATGTGGGAGACCGAGATACTCATGATAATGGGACTTCAGCAAGTTTGCCTGGGAAGACCCAGATATCTTTGACCACGTCTTTAACAAAGAGACCATCTTTTTCTGGCCCCTTTCACTTGCTCTGGTACAGGAGGATATCTAGGCTGGTTCCTGTAACTTGCAGCCTGAAGGTGTTTGAGTTGCAAACCCTGAAGGAGGATGGACCTGTGGTGGCAAGGCATGAGCTTCTACTCAGCTCTGGCTAAAAAAAAAAATCAAGACACATTTTACTGCCTTGGTATTCAGATTTATCAGATAAAAGACAACTTAGTTTTACAGTAACTGTAATAAAAAAAAAAAAAAAGCAATGTCTTCAACACATCCCTGAGGCAAAATGTGCTGAAGAACATGGCAGCAATATCATAAGGAGCTCCAAGTAATGGTCCTGACCAGTACAACCAAACTGGCTCTTATTTGCACAAAAGCTCATCTCTGAGCTCAACCTCACACACAGAGTTTAAGCCAGCAGTGCCTTAGCTGAAACAACAGCTTCTGTGTCTTCCCCTGAGGTCAGATTTTGTCTAGACAGACCACAAATGAGTTTCGAGTAGCTGTGGATTCAACCTGGTGCAGGCCCTCACAGTACCTGATCTGAGCTTCAGCTTTTGCATTGGGGGTTCTTTGAGATAAAGCACATGATTATTATCTACATCCCCTAATGAACATGTGGGTTGAAAGACAAGGAAGCTGCATGAGGAATCAAATTATGTCGCAAAGCCTTTAAGTCAAGTCATTGCAGAGAAACACAGGGCTTTCTGCACTGGGATGGTCCCTTTGGACTCTGCTGGTCACAGCTGGCACCCAGCTCCATGCAGCATGGCCCCACAAGCACACACCAGAGGGACAGGGGTGATCTTTGCCCCTAGGGGACTTCCAGTCTGCATGGAGGGACCTTTGAACCACGAAGCTGAAGCCCCACAGCTTCTGTTTGCAGAGCCCTCTGCTCAGTGCTGTGCCTGGGCAACTCCTTCTGTGTTAAGCCTCAAGAAGCACCAACTGGAGAGTTGCATTCGGCACCTGAAGTCTCCGTTCAGGTCTTGCTGTGAGCAGAGTTGCTCACTTCTTTGGCTACAGCCATTTCATTTCCAGAGAAAATGCATTTAAATCTCTTTCCCACACCCAGAGAGTCCCTCTGAGGAGCACAGCAAGTACCATCTACCTGTTGGGACTGGAATAGATTTAAGTAAGAAAAGGGCTTATCTAAAGCAGCTTTAACAGCAGCTCTGGTGCACATTTCAGGAGACCTCTCAGTCCTGCCCAGCCTGACTGGAAATAATCCCTCTGCTGCTTCTTTCCCCCTTTCTCCTTCCAAAGTAGAGTTAACTCCCTAACAGCACAAACCAGGAACTGGCAAAGGGAATAAATCGCCCGTTGGTATTAATTTAGGCAGAGAAGTCATGTTGCAAACCTACCCTGGACGC